TTCCCCAGTGTTTCCTCACTACTTCGGATTGTGTCGTCCACATAGGGTCCGGAAAGAACTAATCGTTATAGTTACCCTTCCAATTCACTTGTATGGAGAAAATGTCAACAACCAGCTCCGTATTTCTACAATAGACAATTAGCAGGACCAACACTGCATTGGAGTAGACTGAAGGACTGTACCTTATGTAGCCATGGTTTGGAACATTCAAACCTTCACTTGCCCTGTAGTACAACGATACAGTTTAACACTTCACATGTGCCTGAAAGTATTGCTATCTGTTTTTCTAGAAATCTTCTATTTTTTTTACAAAGATTATACATATAAATAATTGTGATAAAAAATGTCTTTCAATATCTGTAATATACAATCTGTTGTTAAGAAGTGTAAGTGAGTTTACAATGAACTACATATGCTTTATTCCATCCATCCCCTTCATCCATCCCATCCATTCATCAGCCATATCACCCTGCGACTCACAACTGGCAACCCACTGAAGTTAAGCCTGGTCAGTACCTGGATGGGAGACCTCCTGGGAAAAACTAAGGTTGCTGCTGGAAGAGGTGTTAGTTGGGCCAGCAGGGGGCGCTCACCCTGCAGTCCATGTGGGTCCTAATGCCCCAGTATAGTGATGGGGACACTATACTGTAAACAGGTGCCATCCTTCGGATGAGACGTAAAACCGAAGTCCTAACTCTCTGTGGTCAATAAAAATCCCAGGGTGCTTCTCGAAAAGAGTAGGGGTGTAACCCTGGTGTCCTGGCCAAATTTCTCATTGGCCCTTCCCAATCATGGCCTCCTAATAATCCCCCTCTATGAATTGGCTACATTACTCTACTCTCCTCCCCACTGATAGCTGATGTGTGGTGAGCGTTCTGGCGCACTATGGCTGCCGTCACATCATCCAGGTGGATGCTGCACATTGGTGGTGGTGGAGGGGAGTCCCCATTACCTATAAAGCGCTTTGAGTGGAGTGTCCAGAAAAGCGCTATATAAGTGTAAGCTATTATTATTATTATTATTATTATTATTATTATTATTATCCATTTTCTATCCAGTTCATCCCATTTTAGGGCTGCATGAGAGCCAGAGCTTATCCCAGCAATCGAAAGGCAGGGTACACCCTGGATGGGAAGCCATTCGCAGGGGAGACACACAGACACAAACACAGATACACAGTATACACACTCACACCAAGACCAATTTTCCCAGAAGCCAATTAACCTACTGTACATCTTTGGACTGTGGGAGCAAACTGGAGCACCTGGAAAAAACTCCGCACAGATGGCACCCCAGGTCTGGAATTGAACCCAGGGCTCCAGCGTTCAATTGCAGGCAGTTATACTACTCACCTTGCCACCCTAATATGCTTTATTGTTTTGAATTATTGCATCAATGTAGTCCTAACTTAACATGTAGCATTTATGCACTGAAGAGGTTTAGGGTGTTCGATGTAACATCAATTCCTTGTATTTACGGTATTGTATATAACACTTTTCACCTCAAAGGATGCCAATAAGCACCATATATAAAAGGGGACCCATTTCATCCACCACTACACAGCAGCACCCATTTGTGTGATATGTGACTGCCATTATGCTAGTTACTCATCAGAAGCCGTACTAAACCTCACTACAGAGCTGATGAGGTGGAGATGTCTAGACATCCTAGACTTAATACAGTCTTTTTTTAAAGGGCTTTTATTTAACTGGTTCTGTGGGCCCCTAGGCTTTCCTACTGTATTCCATACCCCCAGCTGCTGTCTCCTCTCATCTCAATGTAAATTAATTATTTTTATTATTATTTTTATTATTATTATTATTGGGGAAGGTCTGGTAGTCCAGATAGTGCAAGCTCAAGCTAGAATTTAGTCAGGCACCAGGGTAACACTCCTGTAGTAGAGTGTCCCCAGTCACCATACTGGGGCATTGGCTATACTGTATCTATAGTAACTGGTCCAGAGGGTTCAGTATTCTTTACTGAAAAATAATAAAGTCTCCTCTTTACATTGAGAAGAAAAGTGCTATTAATGCCTCTCTTAAGGTAGAGGTGTACATGGTGTTCTGGACTTTGGGTTTCTGTAGGTCATTGACTCACCAAACGAGATGTTGACTTACTGAACCATATATATTATAAACTGCTGTGCACAAGTCTTGGAAATTTTGTTTTGCTCTACGCTAAACATTTCTTTATACAGAAACACAACTGTATGGTGAAATTCTGCTGAAATGTTAGACAATTTTGTGAAGCTAACATTCTAATCAAATCAATCTGTTCTGTTTAACCTGGATAAGTCTGTATGTCATACAATATAAAATAGCCTTTTAGCTTTATGGATCTATAGAGATGTGTCATATTTATTTAATTGGTAAAGGTGATTCACTAGTTAATACAACATTTCATGTGGATGCTCAGATTTTGAAGATTCTGATTAATAGTGATTTTAAACTGTGCTTAATGACAGGTTTGGTTTCTTTTTACGTAAACTAAGCTGTGTTCATAACAGTCAAAGCTGTAATAATACTATAAAACTTTAACTGAGGCTCTGAGTATATTGTTGATGTTCATAACACATATCTAAGCTCCTGCTTGTGTCTAGGATGACTTTTGCACAGCAGTGTGTCTGATTAACAAAATGGCAAAAGTATGAAATATAGAAACAAGCAACACTATCATCGGGTTAATTACAGGACTGTATATCTTTTTTGTTTTCACAAAAATCAAGATGTAATGAAAACACTGACCATTGACTCTTGTTCTCTACCAGGAACTTGAATGAAACCAAAAGTTCCTTACAGTAATAAACTTTACAGGGACACTTGTGAGTTGCTGGGAGAGAGATGAAGACTAATTGAATGCACTAGCATTAAAGGCATGATCAGAGAGGTTTGTGGACACAGGAAGGATTCAGTTAATTTTAAGGAAGAAATAATTCTGTAAATGACCTCAAATGTTTACTGTGGATCTGAAATATTCCTTTTTAAAAAACTTTTTGCATGAACATTGGTTTACAAAATGGTAAATGTTAGTACTATATTGCCATTTTACTTAAAATAAAAAATGTTGTGTAAAATGGTGCTCTCCATGTTACAAAAACAATGTTTCTACTTTGGAATCATATACAGGTACTTTCCTGAGCTTCATAGCTTGTGGACACAAATGGAAAATACATGGTAGTACAGTACATTTAAAACAGAGAACAGGAGGTACTTCTTTTCACAAAGGATTCTGCAAGTGTTACTGTAAATTAACTACCCAGCCACGTTGTTAAACCCTGACGCCATGGATTCCTGCAAAACATAGCTGTATAATGCGTTCCAATCAATAAGCTACTACCTATCCAATAAACAGTATTGATGGACCAAATGGCCTCCACTTCTTTGTAACTATTCTTAGTTAAACCTCAGAGGTAATAGGACCGAACAACATGGATACTGTTAAGAAGTAAGAATGGCTGAGATCCTCAGATCACTTAGATCTTTTAGAGTTCCCCCTAATAACTGGGTTACAAAACAGGCTCTTTCATCCATCCATTTTCTAACCGCTTTACAAAATAGTGTCATGCTGTAGCAGCAATTGGGCCAAAGCAGGATACACCATGGATGTGACAGACACAAACAGCGCACACATTCATACCCAAATCATTTTCCCCTGAAGTCAATTAACCTACCAGTAGGTCCTTGGAAGGAAACTGGAGGACCAGGAGGAATCTCAAAGGAGACAAACACAAGGAGAACATACAAACTCCACACAGATAGCAACCAAGGTCCTCAGTGCTGCGGCTGCAATACTGACCAATGCACTGCCCACAGGCTCTTTGACGCGGTATAATTTCTTATTTTTGTACGCTGGTGCATTGCATTACTTTGTTCCACCTTTACTTTCATTGTAGTCAAAATCATACACGGAACACGATGGTCATAATTAGTCTGCGCAAGCATTCTGGCTGCCGATAAATAGTATATATAAAACAACAGAAAAGTGTGGCTTGTACTCTCCCTGGTACTATACGTTGTGATAACACGCGGAGGCTAGCTGTCTGTATCAGTATGGGGGAAAAAAAATTCCGAAATAATTATTGAAGAATTAAACAAATGGAATGTTAGTAAAAATAAATGTTGTAAAAATAAAAAAAAGTGTTCCTTTTAAAATGTCCGATTATACTGCATATTTATACAGTGTTTCTTAGAAGACATTAGTCTAAAATGTGATTAACAAATCCACAGGAGGACGACAGTGGGAATAGCATATCAGTTTTCATTTTGAATTGTAATCTAAAAATCATTACATTTCGTAAATACATTTAATTAAAAAATGAACAGAAAAGTGAAATTCAGTAAAAGCAAACTAAAGTAAAACTAAATCACTGAAAAGATATAGGTACATCTTAACAAGTCATAATTTAAGAATTTTCGTAGCTGATGTTTTAGTAGTAGAGTAACAGAACAGAGTATTTGTGGTTATTTAGTATTTCATAGAGTATATAATGCGTACTTGACGGATATAATTAAGATAATTTTTTCTAAAACATTTGATTAGCTTTAACCCCCCCCTTTAATTTTCCCTCTTTCATATTCGAAATTATCAATCCTGACACTACTTAAAGCATTAAACAAAAATGACATTTTGATTTTAAAGGCATGATATAATATTTAAATTGGTTTTGAAAAGTCACCGCACGCCAACATAAATTGCTAAATGCTTAATTCAAGTGTCAGATCTCCCATGATAATAAAAAACTATTCTGGAGCCTCACTGAAGTTCAAAGATGCCAAATAATTTCACAACCCAGTTTAGCTTCCACTGGCATTTAATCGTTACCAGATGTCACACACAAGTTCATTACTATTACTTAGTAAAATAAACCCTACAACAAAAATCTGTACAGTTTAGAAAACTGGTAAAAGCAATTAAACTGCTAGGTACATACATTATAAAAACATATATATTCCATACTTTTCCACTAATATTTTGTATAAAAGTATTATGTCGATACATACCTTTCATTGTGGTTTTAAGATGCACGGTAAAAAAAGGAGAAAAACGTCCGTTGTGGAAAACGTTATTTTAATGCATTTTCTATTGCATTCGCTTCAAAGAATTCCCTTTGAGAGTGCAACCCGTGTTAGTGTTCATTAAAAAGAAACTAAATCTCCCGTTAAGAGTAGCGTATCTTCCAGTTGATTCAAAAAAAAGAAAGATGAAGGCACCATATAGATTATAATTGCATCTCAGGCTCCTTTCCGTCAAAACTCCATTCCCACGACCAACTTGTGTACTGTATGTAAGTCCTGCTGCCTTTTTTAAAAAAAAAAACTTTTCCAGGTTCAGAACTTTTTTCTTTACAATGCCACTAGTCCCTACATTAGAGTACTGGGTTCCGGTATTGATGTTTCTCCTCCAACTCCGCTGGCTACAATCAGAAAACCACAAAAATGTCAAACTAGAAAGGAAGTCCCAAGTCTGCAGGCATTCGACTAAACCACGTGTTTTCTACATCTGTCTGATCCCCCTAGTCTCCGTTTCTTAAAGGGGAAAAGGTGAAGATCTCCAAAAAGTGTAAATCCTAGGACGTGCAGAGTCTGCGAAACCGGAGATGCGATTAGATTACCGCTCCGATGGAGCTGTCCTTGTGGTAAGAAATCTGGGACTCATTAAGCACTTTTTTTAATTTAGGACGTCACCATATCCAAATCCAAACCCTGCTGCAAAATTACACAACAGTATACTCCTTCGTTTTTTCTATAGAAAAGTTCCATCCATCCCCCGTCATCAGAAATGCGTTTAGAAAAGTTCTAAAACAGGACAAGATGTTGAAGGCAAAACGGGGGCATTAAAAATCACCCATCTCATGCAGGTTAAAAAAGTGTGAAATCATGAGCTTCATCGGTTTTGTATTTACAGGCTAACACAGACACCTCCGGATGTAAGTATTTGCTTAACAGCATATGTGAAATCGGCTCAAACCATTTGCTGCGTAATTGCGCGTGTAATTACTAGGTTGGAATTTCTGTTATCAAAATAAATGTCTTTTAAATCATTGATATTAGTGTATCTTAATGCAAAACAGACGTGAGCTCTTATGGTTGAAGGACTTTAAAATCATTCAGTCCATGTCTGTGAAGACTTAACGTAGTCAATATTAGAAACTCTTTAAACATTCTAAACTCATGGGAACGCGCATTACAGCAGAAATAATAGTAGTGATAATTTAATTTGTTTAGAATTTGGTATGGCATTAATCTCAAAGGATCCCAAATTGCTTTACATGTAGAATGGTCCCTCCTTCGTGCCATTTACAGTAAGTGAAGCACCTACAGTATAGCACCTGGGTGGCACATTGACGGTCAGTCAGACCAATTCAAACAGATCTGAGAAAATGACTTCACCAACTGAATTTAAAAAAAGCACGAAAGTGTTGTGCAGGTTCAGACACACACACCAGGTCCAATTTTTCCAGAAGTCAATTAATGTACCACAAGCTTGTTGGACTGTGAGAAAACAACAGTGAGAACATACAAAC